AAAAGAGAGACTCTATTCAACTTAAGAACTTTAAGTGATACACATTGTTGAAAAAGTATTCGAATCAAACAAAAAAAAAAGAAAAAAGAAACATTGATTCTATCTAATTAAAAATTTTGAAGAGAAGTCTTAATAGTACAAGAAAATATTGATAGTTGAATTCGATTAAAATGACTGAAGTAGAAAAAGAAAAAAAAATAATCATAGATTTGTTTATTAATAATTTGAACGGTATTGAACATAAAAGAAATCTGATTCTTTCTTTTAGTTTGTAATGGATCATATACACACTAAGACAAATAGAACCACACGATGTTTGTTGATTCAATATGATAGAACGTGACATATGATGAGGACAGAAATACATACATCTTGTGTAGGTAAAAGAATAGAAATACTATAATAAGAAATATATTTCTATTTGTAAAAATAAATTTTAAAAGTTAAAAAAGAAAGAATTATTCTTTCTGAGAAAAAAAAAAAGACAAAAATAAACGTTTTTACCTTTTCTTTTAAGTTGAATGAGACTTGTACTTATGTACATTACTTACACAATCAGTCTGTCTGTGCTCAATGGGGCGTCATCGTTCAATCGTTGTCGTCCTATATATAACAATACATACATATATACGTATGCACAGGTCTGGCTCGCAGCATATAATGACGAGAATTGTTCTGACAAAACATACATATTTTTCAAGTATTCGATGCCGAGAAAAAGGCCCGCCTGTATTATCGCGATAATGGATAATTCAAGAGACTTGAAAATGTATAAAGAACAGCAATTGAATGAATGACTCAATCAAGCGCCACAAATTTATTCTCTCTTTCTTCTTCGTACTTTTTTTTTTTTAACATTTGATCTTAAAAAATTATAGACTTGTTCTCTCTCTCTCTTGCTCTTATTCTATTATTTCTGGTTGTATGAATATATTTTTAATCATAACCAATCAGTTCACATGAGATTGAACACCTGAATGAATAAATAGATATTGTACCGATTGAGAAGCATTATATGTTAACTAGATGAATGGACAGTCAGTCTGATAATTAGTACGATCGTTCTTCCGCTATTCTCTAATGACAAGTTCATAGAAATAATGTGACCTTTTTTTTTTTTTTCTTTCATTGATCGTTACTAGTGTTAATCGATTTTACTTATATTCCATAGAGATCGATATTAATATACATGTCATTTATATTAAGAGAAAAAAAAAAATCTACTTGTCAATTTTCACAAGATTTTTATGTTAGGAATGTTAAACAATTTTTTTTTTGTTAGAGTTTATATAGATTAATCCACTTATATATATATATATATCTTATTTCATCATCAATGAATTTTGTCTATTGATGAGTATGTGTATAGATATTTATATGTACTAAGTATAAGTTAAAGTGAGTATCATTAAAACTAAAGAGGAAACAAGAGGGTGTGGTGAAATGGTGTACAGATGTATATGTATTTATTGTTTATTCGGATGATATTTGCCTGAAGCAAAAATCTTCAAAAAAAAAATGAAGAAGAAGAAGAAAAAAATCAGCACGCCATAAACATACGATACATTAAAAAAACAGAGGCTATAATTACCGAATGCTAAATAATGAATACACGCGATCATTCTTTTGATGACAAATATTTAAAGTGACTTTCAATATGTTAGTTATAGATAGTGAAAAAAACAAAATTTTACATTGTTATATCATTAGATTTAGATCTTTTCATAATTCAACTATAATAATGTTTTAAATCAAATGAAGTCAATTTCAAATTTAATCTTTCAATGAGAATAAAAAAAAATTAAAATTAAGAGTATAAAATCCTCATATTAAATGAAATGATTATGTTCAATTTCAAATTCATAAATTATGCTACAAGGAAAATATTGATCTATTCACTATTATGTTCGTCATGTTACTACATGAAACGAACTATTTAGTCATTTCAATAGACTGTTGAACATGTATAGAATTAAATACAATCATGTCGTAAAAATTCGTCATGAAAAAACATAATACATATTTGTTAAACAGTTGAAGCGATTTACAAAATTTTGTTGATTGCATATTCTTTAAAGTTTGATTTTCATATAATTTAGTCTAATAATAAGTGTGTGCTAGATACATTAATTTTCACATCGTATTTATAGATAAATTTAAATCTTCTTTATGAAGTTAGTAGACAAATTATACTTCATTGTCTTTGTTGGAGAATCATCATTCATAAGACAGATGACTGTATCAATTTAAAAAAATCAATAATGGCTTTTTCCATGAACATGATCGAATTTCTTCCTCTGTATTTTTTTGAAGATAGTTGAAAGTATTATCGATTGTTAAATCTTATAATTTATTTATTACTTATGTAAACTAGATAGTAACATATTAAATGTTAAAGTATTTGATGATATTTAAAAACTTCTTCCGATAGAATAAAATACTTTTATATTATGATATTTACATATTATTTGTATGTACTATTATAATAAATAGGTATTTTTAACAGTCTATTTCTTCTTTTGTATAATAATTTAATAATAATACGAAAGAAAGCAATAAAAGTATTCATTTTTTGTATTATTATTAAATTGTTATATTTGTGAAAAATCGCACTGGTTCGAAATACTACTCTACTCTTATCTTATTCTATATAGCTTTCATCTTACTCTTTCTCAATTCTATTCTAGTTTGGAGATTCGAAAAGTAATATAAATAGGAAAATAGTATGACGTTAGAAATATGCAGCGTACAGTAGAATAACTTGGTATATTTTCAGTTGACAACAACTAGAAACTAACATTTTCTTATTATTTATACAATCATTTTATATATAATCATAAATTTTTGATGTTTTTCGATATCATACTTGTGTAGCCGCGATTTGTTAATTTCTTTAAATGTTATTTATATAAATAAATCTTCGAATCAGTTATTCACGTATATTCAATTTAAAATTGAAAGAAAGTTTTTTATAGTTGAAAAAATAAGTTTACATTTAAATATGCATTTTTTGAGTAAAATTCTAATTTGACAATGAAATTTCAATGACATATAGACTTTGTAACAGTTCGAAAATGACCCTCTTTTCTAAGTATGTTTTTCAATAAACTGTGCATAATTTTTACAGTTTTTTTCATATTTCAAATAGATATATACATTTTTTTGTACAGGTAAATATATAAATAAAAAAAAATATTTCAAAAGACACTATCGTTTATTTAACAGCACAATTTTATGTCTAAACTTGATTATTAAAGTAAAAGAAAAAGCCGATGACATTATACTTCTAATTTCTTTAAATTTATTAATTATTCATTTTAATATTTTTTATGAACATGTTTAAATAGATAATGATAAAAACCAAAAGTCGATAGAATGAACTGGACAATATTCATAAAAACAGAGAAATTTTTCAATAGAAACCTAAAATATTCAAATAGAAATACTTCATCTATTTCTTTTTTCAAGAAAAAGAAAACCAACATGTACTTAAATTGAAATATGTGAGCAAGAACAGTGAATGATTGATATATATATATTTTTTTTTTTTTTTCTTTCGCTCCATTTCGCCTTGATACGTATGACCTTATGTGAAGTGACAGATAGCTTCATAAACGGAAACAATGTCTTCATTAACTAGAGCAAGTCCGCTCCAATGGATCGTACTTTAAAAGTTACAATCTATTCTGACTCAATAATTGTAACATCATAGTTAAAATTGTCGGACAAATATGTAAGACATTTGAGTAGCCAAATATAAATAATCAATAAAAATTATTTCACATCCTTAGATTGTCTATCAGACAAAATAAGAGTTCGCTTGAAAATTTTCGACCACAATTGACCATCTTGTTCATAATAAGTATATTGACGAATACTTGTATTCTTTGAAATACCAGGTTTTTTTTTTCTCGATATATTCTCTTTGATATGAATATTTATCTTGATGTACAAGAGAAAAACAAAGTATTGATGATAAATGTGTTTTTTTTTCTTCTGTTTTTACACAATGGGCTATGAATTTAATGAAAAAGGAAAAAAATTATAAAAAAAAAAAAAAGAAAAGACAAGCATATCATCATCATCACTATTTATTGTTTATAATCGTAGTGGTTCATAGTGTTAACAAAAATAGAAGTGTTGTTATTGTGTTTTTTTTTTTTTTACTAGCATAGAACATCACATTTGTATTCGCTTTCGACAATTATATATTAAATATGTAAATGTATTACAGTTTAATTGGCAGAGCGTATTGCTCGCCGAATTCCAAGATAGCCATATACGCAAAGACCAATAATGAGAAGAGCATGACTGAAAAATATCTGTTCAGCTCCACCATTTAAGCCGTTTGCTTGTCTGATAGCATCAGCCCATCTTCCTACAAAATCACAACAAAAAAAAAAAATGCAAATAAATATAAAATTTTCTTTTTTTGTTTTTTACTTGTATACACAGCTAATGCAATTGTGGTAGCAAAAAGACCCCAAATAGCAATAATAATTAAACAGCAGGCACATGCTGCAAGGCCACCTATTGGACCAAGTGCAGCAGCTAAAGGAGCAGCCATTTATTTCACAGACACTCGCTCGTCTAGAAAAGACAAAAAAAAAAGAACAAATATTATTTAATCTATAAGGGTCAATTTTATATCTCTATTTGTTTTCTTTCATACAGACAAGTAGAAAAACGGAAATGGACATTCACATGCTTAGATTGACAAAAAAAAGAGAGAGAGAGAGACACAAAAGAAAAATAAGTTTTTTTTCATCTAACTTAACTATCTATATGAAAAGAAAAGTTTGCTACTCTCTTTGAATATACCAATATAGTTTTCTCTCTCTCGTTCTGTCATACATATACTTTTTTGTCTCGTTTTTTTTTTTTTATGGCAGGCATATCTATCGACTCAAGGTAACATTACATACTAAACACGTACCTTAGTGAGTGCTTCCTAAAAAAACCCAAAGATGAGGCACTTTTTCTTTCATTTATATGTCTATTCAACCGTGTATATACATGACTGCAACCCCCTAAAAAAAAAAAGGTAAAGAAAAAAATATCATCTATAGAACATTTACATACTGATACAAGCCAAATTAAAGAAGAGAATATGGTGCGGAAACCATGCATGACAAAAATGAAATTTATGACGAATGTGTAAGATTGCCGAATGAAGAGACAGAACAAAATACAGAATTGCAAAAGCATATATAAACAAACAAACTTAAAATTTACACCTAATATAAAGAAACTTTTTAAAATAGTCTAATAAAATTATCATCAATTCAAGGTCATTTAGTTGATGATAATTATGAGTAAATAACATGACATGTTGCGGTTTCTTTTCTTTTCTTTTTATTAATGTATATGCTTCAGATTTATTGTAAACAATAAATGACGTCCGAAATTTTATTTGAGTATTATTGGTGATATAGGAACACCAAGGAAACAAAAAAAGATTTAGATAAATAAAAAGTTGAAGAAAAATAAAAAACGAAAGAAGAAAAAAAGAAACATTGAGTATCATCACGATGTTGCTACTGAATTACATATGAATAAAGAGTGTTGTCGTCGTCGTTGTCATTGTCATGTGTTTTTTTTTTTTTACTGTTTTAGAAAAAAAAGAAATTCAATGATGCATATCGTGCGCGCGTTCCATAATTTAAGAGAAGAAATAAAATTCGTTGTGTTGCAAAAGAAAAAGTATGAACAAAAAAAAAGAAATTTCAAAATCATTGTGTTTGTATAGTAAATAAATAGCATCGTAAATACGAGAAAAGCTTAAGTCATGGTTTATTGATCTATGAGCGACGCATGAACGTGAACAAAAACGAACATACGAGTACTAATAAAAGAAGCATATGTGGAGCAATAAGTTCTTGGGCACCATTTAGACCATTACGATTCTTATAATCACGTAACCATCGACCTTGAACAAAATTTAAAAATTAATTATAGAAAAAACAAAATTATATCAAAAGAACTTACTAATAAAGACAGTCAATGGAATAGCCGTGATAAATAAACCCCATACACCAATAGTCATAAGACAACATAAACATCCAGTAAGACCACCAATGGGTCCAAGAATAGCTGCAAGAAGACCAGCACCACCGGGTGCTCGACCAGCTGGTACTACTGGTCGTACTAGTGGTGGTCTATATCGATAACGTGGTCGAACATAAGATGAACGATAGACTCGACGAGATGGACCATCACTGTTGGGCACATATCCTATAGAAACATGTAATCAAAATATTTCGAATAACAACCACATAGATGATTTTCGTTTACGCACGTGCTCTTGGTCCATTAAATCCGCCCGGGGCTTGACGCATATATGTAGATTAACAGGCGGACTATTACTTTTCTACAATAGGACAAAAGTTCATATAAAGAACAATTAGAAAGAACTCAATAATTATGCTGATTATCAACAACAAACAATAAATTGGACTCAAGCAACTAGAGAGGAAGAGAAGGAAAAAAAAAAAAAAGAAATACAAAAGAGCCTTTTTCGCTATCTTGATGAGTTTCTGTAAGATTCTTTTAATTTTTTTTACTGTCTATTTTCCCTATAATGTCCTCCGAATGTATTTTTCTCTCTCTCTCTCTCTTTCTCCCCTTCTCATTGCTACTTGATTGACTAAGTGCAATCATTCTATCGTGCATCTATGTGTACGTCGTATACATCTGTTAAAAAAAAGTACTAAAGGGAACAAGAAATAGAGAGAGAGAGAGAAGAAAGCGCAAAAAGGCACGACGATTTGTACAATACCGAAAAAAAAAGCAAGAAGAGAACGCGTCACACGTCAGCAAACAGCTCGATAATGATAATTTTTGTTGACTGTAATGATACATTTACAAAATAAAACCATGACTCCGACATTTTCATATATCAGAAATAGTGAAACACCATTACACGATTAATGATGTACACGTGATGCATGTACAACTGTCTGTCTATGTGCAACAAATTTGAGCAAGGTTAGAAAAAAAAAAACCGAAATAAATTGGAAAGGAGAATGATACTTGAAAGCGTGGGCATATATTTATTACTGCCTTGACGCTTCATTGAGTTTTATTATAAGAAAATGTTTATGCATGTATATGTGTATGTGTGTGAAACAATAAGAATAGAATTAAATAATAAGATAAATATTGAAAATTGGATAAAAATTATTTTATTTAGGAGAAGAAAAGAGAGAAGGAAAATTATTATAGATGTTTGCGTGTATGTCTCTTGCAAAGTTAATTGTTGATACGATTATTTGTTGGTTGTGGCTTTGGAACTTTTGCAGGAGTACGAACACCATTTTTGACGTTACCACCACGAACAGTAGTAGGTCGACGTGTTGCAATTGGTTTTCGACGAATTGTAACTACAGGTTTTTTTGTTTTACGCACTATTGGTGGAGCTTGTGGAACTCCATTGACACCATTATTATTATTATTATTAGAGTTCGCCAAACCGTTACCAGGATTTGCACCCGGAAAATTTGAGATATTTCCTGAACCTTTAAATAAGATAAATGTTTATTTACATACAACAAAGTAAAAAGAGATCTTTACCAATTGTATTACTTTGACCTCCATTATTTGATTGATTAGGTCCTAAAATAAAATTAAGATATGTATTTTCTTAACAAACTATTACATTTATTTATTACTATTATTTTGTATAATTGCAGTATTTTGAGGAAATCCTAAACATATACATATATTAACTTATTTTTTTTTTTAAAAGAAAATTTTCTTTACCATTTGTTGAACTAGCTGATTATATTACAAAGCATAAATAAAAATAATGTATATATTAAAAATTTCTAACTTATTATTTTACATACCTATCAAGAATAAAAAGAAACATAAGATTAAAAATTAAATTAAATTATTTAACTAACCTTGTCCATTATTTCCAATTGGTGATGTTGTTATTCCTATACTATTTGTAAGTGCTATTCAATAAACAAAAATTTCATTGTAATAAAATGCAAGAAAGAAATACCAAAAAAAGAAAAAACAATGATTACTTACGAGCTGTTGTTACTGTCGCACTATTTGGTCTATCTATAAGAAAAATAATAGAAATTATTTTTTTGTTTTTTGTTTAAAAATATATCTTAAGCAACATTACTGGTCATTTGGTTGGTTCCATTCATTATAACAGGACAACATGGATAACAAGCAAAAACAGAAAGTGCTTCAGTAACTTGTTGAGCTACTGAATCATAAACTGAACACATTCCTTGTGCTGATGCTGGCATACATCTTGGACATATTTGTCGTAAACATGAAACCATTTCTTCATTGCAAACTTCACGTGAAAACATACATGAACTAAAACACATTCGATGAAGACATGTACATTCTCGATATTTTTGTGCATAACATCGAAGTGATACAAATGAACGACCATGTCGTTCCCAAAATGGACACATTCCACTAGAACATGTTTGAGTACCACGAACAAAACGTAAATAAGCATAAGCTGATTGTGGTAATGGTGCTTTTGTACGACGTCCATTTGTAACTGCATTACGACGATTTGTTGTAGTTGAATTGACCATGACAATAAAAAAACAGAATAAAAGTACTAGACTAATACGCATTTTTGTTCGAAGTCTCTTGAATATTGTTTTGAAGTAATAGAGACTAATGAAAAAAAATCGAATGTTGGTAACTTGTGATAAAAAAGACGTCGTTTATATGCCGACAATAACTGTCGTGATCTTATTGGGATTAATTATGTACGTGAAAGAGCGTCATTGTTTTTTTTGTTCTCTCTTGAATTAAAAAAACCGTAACAAGAAGTATATGTCGAAGTCATAATTAAACCATAGGCTTGAACTTTCAATATCATAGTTATATTGATTATGAAAAATCAAAAAATGTTTATCCCATGTATTTAAAAGTGTTTAATAAAATAATATATCAGACATTCTATATCCCGTGACCTTCGTAATTTTAAACTTTTTCACATTCACACATATTCGTTTAACATAAAAACAGACGTGATTTAATCTTGTTTTTCAATGAAAAGGTTGTCGAACGATTTAATTTTTTACTATCATTTATTGTTCTTAATTGACAAAAGAAGTAAAGATAAATTTTTAAATCGAAAACAAAGAAAACGACAATCAAAGTTAAGCCACAGAGTCGAATCTAAATAACATCAAAACAAAGATTTCAAATGTCAAAGAATTGTTATGAATGAACGAACTAAGGTTTTATTTTTCTTTCGAAACGATATGATTTTCAAAATAAGATTTATATAGGTTAAGGACAGTTGCTCACTCGGATACATTGTTTTATCGAAATTTGCGCTTTCAAGAAAGTGGTTTAAAGCTTCCCAAAGACGAACGCCTATTTTTTGGAACCACAGATACATAGTATGTAGTACAACAAACACAAACTTCGGCAGTGATTGGACAATAGCTCGCGAATATCAACAATATGAACTTTCTCTTCGTCCATGTTCTAAATGCCTAATATATTCATATTATCTAGAGTATTTATATTTCCAAAGAATTTTGGTTCATTTTTCCGGTGAATAATATATTTGAATAGGCGTTATAAATTAATAAAAGTGCATTTTTAGAAGAGTTTTAGTATAGCTATTGGGATAATTTCTTGATTTTTTTTCTTTTGTGTAGCTCAAATTCAAGTAGTGATTTTAATAGCTAATCGAGTGTTCTATCAAATACAATCTATACAGGCTTGTCGATATATTTTAGAGACAAGAAGGACTAAAGATTCGTTAGAAAGAGTTTTCATTCTTCAAGTACTAGAAGTGGGTAACCAAGAGGAAAATCGAAACCTCACCATGACCTGATCTTTTCCAATCCTATTCCTCTCACGAAGACAATATTTTCTTATTTTTTTATTTTACTCTATGTCAGAGAAAGGCTAATAGTGTTTCAAAACTGGACTTTTGCCTGCAGTTATCACGAAACTGTAAAAAATTGGCAGGAATTCGAACATTTTGTGAGGTAAGGGAAAATTGCCGTTGTTTCTCTCTTCCAATTGAGAACTCTGATTCCATGGATAAACCATGATGGCACGACGTCTAAAAAGTCAGACACGATAGTATTCAGGTGCCAGAAGCTTTTTCTAAACAATACCATTTTAACTGCGAAACCTTGCCATCATAGTTCATCTATGAAATCTAAGTATAGAATGTACGAGATAGCCAACTCAATAGCTCCCTATAATCACTATCTACATTTGAGCTAGGTGTGCACATTATAGAAAGAAAAAACCAAAAATGTGTTGTCGTTAAATTCAATTTGTCATGATATCAGTTTGGCAAATTTCAGAACACGTAAATCAAACAGTTTATAATGATGATCATTCTTTCATAAGAGATGAATTTATTTTATCACTGTATTTCATCATTTTGTTTCAAATTCATGTACAATTTTGCATAACAAGTAAATATACGTTTTCTGATTTAGGTATATGTTTTAACCATTATTGAGCGAGATCAGTTTAAATTATCTATCATTGTATTTCCATGAAGACAAATTCGAAATCTATTTTAGCTTAAGAGTGCTTCCGATTGAGAATTTTATTTGTAATGTATAGTAAACAATCATTCGTATTCACAATTCATGATTAATATAAATTCTGCTCAGCAATAGAAAACTTTGAGTCTTCTATGATATCCCATTTATGTTCATAGTTATTATCAATTAGAAAATTTTTAAAGGAAACCAACAGCTCTGAAAACCAATGATCGCATCAGATTCAAGGAGAACTAGGTGTAATCTGAACAAGTTGACAACGGTAGCAGTTAGAAACCGAAGGTTTTCAACGATCCAAAAGAAAAAGTTCGAATGTCTGTATATCTAACACTATATATGAGAAAATTATATTCAAACTAATATTTAATAAAGATGATGGGTTTTAAAATAATTTTCTTGTATATGATATCAGACAAAAAAGTCGTCTGAAGTTCTCTGTACTCGATCACTGAAAATTGCAGATCAATAGTTGTTGCCATTATCGAGTTATTGAATTTAAACTTGACTTTTGTTAATTCTAGTGCTGATATTAAATACATTTCAATATACATACACTCATTAATGTTCTAACTTTGAGAGAAATATTTAATTTATAGTTTCTTCTTTAGGTACTGCGATTACACGAACATATGTACGGCATTAGCAGAACAATAAAATCAAAAGACGAATCATTTAAATTAAAAACTTATAGTAAAAAAAGAAATCTAAATGAAAGATATTTAAAAAAATCGTGATAAACCTTGAACATGTTTTAAAAATTTTGTCGATTATGCCTGTCATATTTTGCGTGCTGTATAAAATGAACGTTGATAAAAGTATATAATACTTTAGAAAGACGTTAGAATAAATAATTCTCAATCATAAATTTTCTATGACTGCAATTCTTCAATAATCATCTATAAAAATATCGATTTATAATTTTGAGTGTATAGATAGTTGTTAGCAAAATTCTGATATCTTTATAAGTTGTAACAATTTTGTTATTTTCATTTATTATTTCTATCATTTTTGTGAAACAATAATTTCATTAAAATTCTCATCATGTCTATTATATTCGAAGAGTTAGAATAAAATTATTATTTGTACCAAAAATTCATTGAATATAAATTGCATATCTTCAAAAAGACAAAGATATATTGAAAAAAAAATGACTAAAAGTTAGTTTAATTGTTTGATTTTAGCTTTTGTTGAATTCTATATACAATACATCAATGAAATTCTGGACAAAATATTTTTTTTTTGTTTACAATAAATTCTGTTTAATTTATATTTCATTTTTGCATGTATACAATTTAAAATACTTGATGATTATTTAGATAAGGCTGCTACTTGTTTGCTCAATAAAATTTGTATCTTCTAGCACTGCTAATAGATCACTTTTACTTTGCCTGCTGTACTCTAGCTCGAAATACCTATAGGCTAGACTAAAAATCACAAAGTGGCCTCTAAGCCAAGCGAGGCTGATTGACGTTTCTGATTTTTTTCAAATATATTTAATTCTATGACTCAACATTAATGTATCGTTCTAGATTCAGTTGTTCACTTTATTGATTGCCATAACGATAAAATAATAACGAGTTTTAGCAAGAAATAGCAAATTAAAACAAAGAGAACGAGTAAGACTTAAGATGCTCTGTGATTATATCAATACGATCTCGTGTAATCATGAAAATGTAATCATAAAAACCAAAGCAACAAACAATTAAGTATAAAGCGAAGAGATAAATGAAAATGTGTGGTATAGATGATAGGTATAATAATAGGCAAGGAAATTTGTATCTGACAATCAATATATATTGCCATAGTACGAATGCAAAATTTACTATACAATTGTTTTGAATGAATTGGTCAATGTACTCTAGGAAATAATTCTAATGCTAAGCTGAAGGGTGCGAGTGTTAGTCTTCTCTTCATGTACATCAACACCTAGCTAATCTTGTTAAGACCTGTCTCTCTGTAAAGTGTCAAAAATAAATTCGAAAATCAGTGTTTTCTGGTGTTCTTGAGAGAAATCCCAGCATTCATTTTCAACAATAGTATAAAAGTGCAGAGTCATCGCAGGAATAAGCGAAGGATACGAACTCTTTTCAGCGTATTCATAGCTCATTTGAGTCTACATAATGTCTTTAGTCTCTACTAAGAAATAATTTATCAGTTGAAGGCTTCCTTGCTTTAGTCGCTGGTTCTTATCAGTATAATAAATTTTACTACTACTCTGTATTGATAGTTTAATAAAAGTCTAATTGATATCATAGGTTTAAGTTTTGAAGAACATAAATGATGCTTCCGAATGAAATCTATCTGCTTTTGTAAAATGTAAAGGTTTAATCGGTACAAAAGTTGATGAAACGTATAAATTAAGAAAACATTCAAAATTACTCAGAAAAAGCAAAAGTAGTGGATCGACTTTGAAGTACATTTTTACAAAAAGTAACTAAGTAACATTCGAAAGCATAAAGTATACTCTTGAAAAGTGACTAGATTTCAAAAATAAAACCCGTGCTATGTGATTGGGGTGCATTGAATCATGAATACATAATAATAGTAAAAGTTGTTATACTGATTGCAATCATTCGAACGACGAAACATTTTCAATAGATTGGTCGCTGCTATTAACAAAAATTACTGGATAATAGATTGTCAACCATTCTGATTCCGAATATAAACATGAGAAATTTCCATAGATCTTTGATGCTAGTTTTCTAGATTGACAAAATTTTCGTTTGGTCCTATCGAAATTAAAGTATAAGGTCTGGAAAACAAAAAAAAATTTTTCAGTTTCAAATCATTGTTTTTGTGGAAAATACAACAATGTGATATTATTTTTAGAATGCTGAAATAATTATTGCCTACAGAAAAAATCGATATGATCTATAATCTGAAGAAAACTAAAACTATTCTAGAAAAAGTTTTCCCAATCTGAAAAACTGGTTTTCTAGAAAGTCAGCATATAAAGACTTGAGAGTATTTCTCATGATCATGGTGCTCCAGATTCACAGTTTTATGAATCATGACTCAGACTCGAGTTTTTTTTTCCAGAGATA